AAAAAAAAAAAAAAAAGTAAAATATGACAAAATGATTTTTTTGTTGTTTTTGTTTTGTTTTTTTAACCCTTTGGGGATGGATCGAGGCGGTAATTGAGGAGATAAAGTCTCTGCGCAGGGTTGGGTTTGCCTTGGTTTTTGGGTCAAATTGAACTTGTGAATGTCACAGGCTCCCCAAAGGGTTAATTAGGATCTACAAACACTACTAAGGAACAGACAGTAAAGTTTGATCTGTTAGCCTGGCATACCAATGCTCCACAGCACCCAGCACTCCACAAGGTCCTTAACAGCTACCAGAGGCTCTCAAACAGCTTTCACAAACAGTACTGACCACACAAACTGCTACTTTCAAACCAAATGATGAGTAAATATCCATCTAGGAGCTGGATCTTTACAAAAACCAGCGGTGTTCAGTGTCTGAATGCTGACATTTATGCCTTTATCACTTATCTGAGGTATTAATGGAGGATTTTAATCTAGGATATAGGGCTCATGGTTTCCAAAGCAGATTTAATTGAATATACAAGCCATTCTGAATATTTTAGGTCTATGATGTTGATTCAGCAGAGTAATAGGGTGAGAGAAACCACAAACACTACAGACAAATTTCAAGGTTAGCATTGTCTGGGCAAGGCTCAGTTGTCCATCCTTTACAGAGATGACTCTGGCTTTAGAAATAAGTCTCACTTACCTTTAGATGCTTCTCAGACTTCCTCTCCAGATAGATCACTTGAGTATTACACATTTTTCATTTATTCACAGCAATTTATTATAATACCATTTTTAAACTCTAGAAATAATGCCTTGAGGACAGGCCACTGCTGAAATCCATCTCCAGAAATGGTGTTTGGCTTCTGGGATACCAATTGCTGCCATGCCTACTGATGCCTGGTTAGAAATACTACCCACGTGTCCAGCAGAAAATACTCAAATACCCATTTGGAGGGAAGGCTTTGGATTCCTTTTCTCTAACACTGTTCTTGTTTTTCCCTTCCCATTTTCACAAAGTCAAGCAAGTGGCTTTACTCTCTTCCAGAAAGGAAGGGAAGCTTCCTCCTGCCACTGCCTTTCACCAGGTGTCAGCACTGCTGCTCCTCCACACAGAGCTTTGCAGTGCTGATGCAATTTTTCATCTTTAAAACCACACAGTGCACCATCATCTAAGACAAAGGTGTTTGAGGAGGAAAATAAATTACATTTCTGCTCTGCAAAGCCACAGACAGAGCAGTGCAATGAGTTTTCCTTTGTAAGTTAAGCCCAAATCCAACTCGCAACCTCTGTGTTAAATGATGAATGCTAACTTGGTTTATGAAATACACCAACTAATCCCACACCATAATTATCTGCAGTGTTATGAGATACATTCATGCAGATTTCAGATACTTGCCTCCGTTAACTACTCTCTGATCTGCTCCAGAGTTAGGGCTGAATTCTGAAGTGTGGGATCCAGACCTTGAGATTGGTGGGCCTGATCCAGACTGGCCCATCCTCGGTGAGTTTTGTCTTCCACTTCCCCAGGACAGGACATCCCTGTTCCTCTGTCCAGGTGGAATGTATTTATTTTCTCTGAAACACAGCAAATTTCTATCAGTTTTGAGACATAACTGTGAGGCAACAAAAAGCACCTCATTTTCTCTCTTTTTCTCCCATCAAGCCAAGGAGAAAAGTCTAAATAGTATCAGATGTTGACCCAACAGTCACCTCATGAATTGGCTTTTGATAGTGGCCACACAGTCCACTTTATGAGCCCACAGGCACTGAAGGATTAGCAGTAATGCCTGAAATTCTCCAGGACACACCGAAACCACTGCCCCTTCCTGGAATCTGGGACAAATTCACCAAGGTGACAGGTCAGAATGGGCAGGTTTGTTTCACTACAGAGATAATGCAGGGCCAGGCAGAGGTGTCCAAGTCAGCCTGAGTGCCAAAACCAGCACAGGATTGTTTACACAAGGCTCCAAACCTAATCAGGCCTGCTGAAAAAGCCCAGTATCAATGAGCAAACTGCTACAGTACCAAAATACCTTCATAATTTAAATAAAAATACTATTCATAGTGTACTCAAGTACCTAGTGTTCACACCATGTCCTTCTCTTTCATTAGCATTTCTCTGAACAGCAGTATATTTTTCTTCTTCTGTCCTTTCATCATTTTCCAAGGCAACCCGAGCTTTGTATTGGGCACTTGATTCAATTTCCTCTGCTAATTGAGTTGCTCTGGCTTCCCGCTTTAAAAACTCTTCTGAATTATCTCTTTCTAATGGCACCCTAAAAAGACAATGGAAAGGAAAAGAATCTCTGAAATGCATTCAAAAGCACAAAGGAGTTACAAAAAATCACACAGTGTTAGTTCTAACCCAGTCAGAGTGAAAAAAAATCTTGCTCCTAAGCCAGTAGACTTGCTGTCTTTTTTAAAACAAAAAAATTCCTGGACTGGTTTGATATTATGGACAAATTCAGGGTCATTTTTACCTGCCTAGAGAGCTGAGGTCAGGGTGCAGAACTTTTCCACAGGATTTTTAAAATCCCCAGTCCCTAAAGCTGTGCAAAGGCTCCAAGTTTTAACATGGTTGAGAATATCAGGAATAAAAAGCCTCATACTGCTTTTTACATAGGAAGCTACTCCAAGAGCCCAAATTTGAAGTTTTTTAGCTATTTACATATTGCCAGCAGACACAATCCTACTGAAATCAGAGAGTGGCATCCTTACTCCTTTGATAATTCCAGCCATAGAATTTCAGCTCTCCCAACTATGAAGAACTACAGAAAAAAGGGATGCAACACTTCAGAGCAGAGGACCAGAAACTCCTGACTCATCTGTGAGTGCCAGGACCTCAGTCCCATTCTTTCCATGTCTCTCTCAATGGCAGGCAATGGAATATTGCAAAAATCATCCCTTAGGAAAGCCACCAAATCAACATTCAATACATGAGCACTGAAACACTGAAAAAACCCAACCAGGGATGGGATCATACCTGGCACCTCCTTCTCTCACCCATTTTTGGGGTTTACCTGTCCTAATATTTGTGCCAGGTTTTAAAAAAACATTTTTTCCCCGATTCTAACTTCAAGTTGCAAAAGCTGTTTCACCAACCTTACTCCAGAATAAGCTACATAAAAACAAAGAATAGAGCTGAGGCTTGGCCCAGGCTCTGCTGGGCATTATAGAATCACTACTGCCCATATTTTGAATAATATAAAGAAGAAAAACAAAGAAAGTGGGTGGAAATACAAGCCAAGTATAGAATAATACATGCAAAATTGCTCAAGTGTTGGTGGCAGAACAAGGAAAACAAGTGGCTTTGCTAAATTCCAAGCCAGCACTCAGCTACTGCAGCACAAGTTTTTCCCCACATTTCTGGCCAGTCAAAACATTTACTGGCTTTATCAATGGTAACTGCAAGAATATTCAATAAAACTCTTCAGCATAAAGCTTTGGCTCAAATAAGATTTCCATGGATGCAAACCTGGTCCCAGGCCCCTCTGTTAATAACACAATAAAGGAGAACAGCCAATAATCCTCATTTATTTAAAGTGAGTGCAAAAAATGAAGGGATGTATGGCAACCTAAAGAGGCAGGGGATGATTTGAAGTTTTCTAACGGGCCTTTAAAGATGAGAGAAAGGGGATGGACAGGATGACATTGTTCAGAACCTTGGTGATGATCAATACATTTGCTGGAACACAAACTTGTACCTTGATGCAGTTTGACAAACTCTACCTGCTACTGCTTAGCTCTAGGAAGAGAAAACAATCAAACAATAAACCCTTCAGCTGCACATCTAAGCATTTAGTGGAAAAGCAGGAAAAGAGCCTCCCAGTTTAGCAGACTGATATGCAAAGCAAGTTGCTTGACTAGGGAAAATAAAAAAATTGGAATTAATTTAAAGCCACCTTCATGTTTTTAATCTGTTTCCATTAATATCCAGAAAGCAGAAAGATGGAAGACTAAAGTTCAAAAGTACAAAAAGTACTTAGAGCAGGGAAGGAAAGAACAGCTTCCCCAGGATTCAAGCATAAGCTGATTAAGACACTTTGATTATCACCATATCACAGGTCCATTTGCACAAAACATAGAAATCACATTGTTGAATCAGAGACCTGTAGACAAGTGCACACACACACACACACAGAAAAATCAAAATATTCACTGCTATTCCTTGATATTAAAAAAAAAATCAGTTTCTGCTTCGGGGGTTAAGAGAGTGGGGAAATACTGAAGCCATTTCACAATGGCTGTGAACATCTGCAGTCCATTTGTGTTGCAGTTGCAGTGAACATTAGAGCTGCAGACTCTGGGGAACAAATCACTGCCAGAGTAGCCAGAGCAGCCTTTATACTACTTCTATATTCCAGTTGTTATTATATTTAACTAAAACTTCAGTTTAGAGCTGGACAAGTCTGCTAAACAAGCACACAACCCCCACCCTGGTTATCAGCAGCTTTTCAGCATTCCAGTATGTTCCAGATCAATTGTCTCAATAAAATCAGGGTTTAGCCAAACTGCTCTGCTAGGTTAAACAAAAAACTATAGGTGTAGCAGCTATATACAGATTAATTCACAGCTTTCCACCCTATTCCTGGAAATTTCTGCAAGAAACAAGCCTTATTGCATGGCTAAATTCAGAAAACTCTGCCATGGGAATGAGCTGTGCCCATTTAAGGGAATATATAAAGATTTCTACATCTAACTATTCACAGAAAGCTGGCAAGGTTTCTTAAGCACCATTCATTCATTGCTTTTGCAGTTATTTGATTCCACAACTTCAGAAACTATGCAAAACGAGCTGCAGAATATAAAGTTTGTCAAACCAGGGAGAACATTCAATACAAATCTAATAACAAAATATTTTGGAACTTACGTATAAGAAGATAAACTGCTGTCATAAGTTGACACTACACCATAATTTTCTTCATTGTAACGAAACATGTCATTGGGATCCCATCCATTAGACTAGAAGAAAATGATGCTTGTTTTTCAAAATGACACTGGAAACACATTCCCTTCAAATTAAGGGCTGATGGCAGAAGTTAAACCTTCTGCCCTTTTTCCTGGACCTATGGACTCACTGTCCAGATAACAAAGTTATTAATGCCACAGTTTATTTCAAGGAGCTTTGTTCATCAGCTGCACAGATTCTACCTTCAAAATTCCATTTTTTTGTTTGTTTGTTTGTTTGTTTGTTGTTAGTCTTTGTATTGTTTTTGTGAGTTTTTTTTTTAAGTACATGCTCACTCTGTACAAGAAGACTACTGGCTAGCAAGACATACATACATTAATATCTGCTTTGCCTTTTCCAAAAAGTGCAAATTAACACTTCTGAAACTTTTCAAAAGCACTGATGGAATTACCTGAGAGGCACCAGAGGCAGGAGACTCCTGTTGATCTGCACAACTCCCCCACTTCAGTAAAACTGCTATCACAGCACTCAAGCACAACAATAAATGCTTTGAATATTTTATAAAAGCACTGAGAGTACTGGGTATTCCAATAAATCTCAGCTCTACAGTATGGACACCAAAACTGACAGGAGAATTGTTCTACCCAAAGTTAATATGCTCTAATCAGTAACATTATCTCCTTGAACACACTGCAGGCTGAACACCTGGCTACAAGAATTTCTGCTTGAGGAAAAGCTGACTGCTGTGATATATGAGGATATGGCATTTGAGGCCATATTCTTCAGCTAATGATTCATAATCTGAGACTGTCCCTGTGCTTGGGTCAGGCTTCCATCAATTCTCTCCATCTGCAGCCCAGGGACACTGAGCTGAGCACAATCTCCCCATCATTTCCAAGTGCAATGACAGCCAGACAGGAATGCTCTGATTGAACATCAATCACTTTGGGGCATTGCTGGATTTGGAGTCCTTAACAAAAGCTGCTCTTTGGGTCCTGGAGTCCAACACAGCTCTTACCACTGGTCAGAATTTGCCAAAAGTGCCATTTGAAAGGCAGCTATTCTCAACCAGATCTGGCAGCTGCTGGCAAAGACTGAGCATCCACCAGCACAATGCAGGACAGCAATTTTGCTCCTCCAAAGTTCATTAGTAGATTGAAATTAAGGAATTATTTCAAGGGAAACAGCTCATTTTCTACTGATGGCCAAAGATGATCAAAGCATCACTCACGACATCGGTCTCCAGCGCCTCCAGCTCCTCGGAAGCCGTGTTCTCTCCTCCATCCCATGGTTCCAGATCCTTCTCCTTGTGCTCTCCATTAACTTTAGCACTGATGGCTGAATCAGTAAAAGCATCTGCAACAGAGTGGGGAGGGTCAGCACCAGTGAGACCAGTTTGGGTAAGTTTGCACACTGGTTTTGAGCTGAGGAGCAGCTCAAACACAGCTGAATCACATTCCCCTTCTCTTGGAGCTGCTGGACATCACAAAGATACCTACTCCAGACTTAAAGTAACTATGCAAGTATAGACTAACTCCTCCCATATCAGAAAATAGAATTATTTTCAGTTATTTCAAAATGTTTTCTAAAATTACATATATGTTTGGGAGAGAAAAAGAGAAAAAAAAACAACACAAGGATTCCTATTCTTCTAGAAAATGAAAAGACTTGTATAAACTTCTTTTCCAACCAGCCCACACAACTGCACATCACAATAGTGTGCAAATATCAAAAAAGCAGGAAAGCAACTCCCTAAATAGGAAAAATACAATTTTCCTTTCAAATAACCATATTTCTTCTATTTCTACAACTTTTCAACACACCAACAGAGCAATTATCCATCAGCTTGGTGCTCCCATTTCCTGTGACATGAACAGAGGGGTCTCCTCTCCTGCCAGAGCTTTTCCAAGCAGCAGCTTATCCAAATCACACAGAAAAATCCAGGAATTCTCTACTCTTTGTTCTCAACAACATAAGAGAATAAACAACCAGTAAGGCTCTTCTATTTTTTATAAAAATATCAAAAAATAAAGATTGCAAACATTTATTTTGACTTGTTCATGCTTCATTCAAGCCAGACTTAAGAAGGAATAATACCAGAGTATTACAAGTGCTGTAAAAATATATCTAAAGCCTTTCAACAAGCTTTTGTATTTGTAAGCAACTGGATCTCAGAACTACATAGAGAACTTTAAAAAAATCAAATAAGCTTGTTATAAGCTCATAAATAAATAAATCAGCCTAAAGTAAATAAGTCTTCAATCCAGAATTTCCTATCATCATCATTCTGCTGATAAAACAAGGAGCAAACATTTCAGACCTTTAGAAAAGATGAAATCAAACCACCAGGCAGTGCCAGATAAGGAAAAACATGGCTTAAATTAACTTCTGGCAAGATATAAAAATCTGCCTTAAAAAAATAAAATGAACTTTAAAGCTATTATGAAAAGAATTCCCAACATATGAAGTTGGCCACTGATGGAACAGCTTTTACACAATCACTGAAGATGTTTTAAAGAGAGACTGCTGACATGGCTTATTATTCCTGTTTACCTAATCTCACAGTGAAATTCTTCAGATATATTGGATAAAAATTCACTGTACTTGGTATCTCTAATAACAGCCAGCACTATCCCATGAAATGCCCACACAAACAGCTTTTAAAATATACTTTATTAGAATACATAGTAAATATGTGTGTTCAAATGTCATCTGAAACAACACAGAACACAGTGATACAACTCATAGTTAAGCAGTAGCTAAAGAGCATATTTTTAAGAATTTTTAAGAATGTAAACCCTGCATTTACCTTATCAATACCCCATGGCTTAACTCAGATAAACTAGTGCTGCTCCTGCCCCAAACAACATTAATTCCATACTTTATTTCTGCTCAGACTGGGACATGTTACACCAAACCCAAGTTGGAGGCTGTTAATGTCTTTTAGGAAACTGAAATTTGTTTCTGCACCTCTGGGAATGGAGGGAGCTCCTCTCCAGTGAGATTAGATAAATATGAATTAGGAGCCTGATGGCAGCACCTGATGAAGGCAATCTGTTTTTCAGAAGGGTGTTTCCTTAATTTCTATTAAATTCCTCCAGGCAAACTCCACACAACTGTGCCATTTTGGATACTGTGAATAAAATACCAGCTTAACAAGACTCATCTACTCAACCCACTAATTTTCTTATTTAAACAGCCACATAAACATTCAGAAGCGCTGTTATTGTAATGATACAGACGGAAAAAACACCCAAGTCAAAACAAAAACTCCACTATCAGCAAGTGCTACAGGTCTGAGTAGGATGTGTGCAGCCACTGCTGAGTTTCCCAGTAAATCCAGGATATCACAGGGCACAGGGAGCTCCATGGCTCTGCGTTCCTCTCTTTCATTTTACAATGAAAGTCACAAGTGAGACTTTGCCTGTTTAACCTCCACAATTCAAAGAAAACCCAAAGACAGGAGACATTCAAGCTGCAAAGGCACTCCCAGCCAGACAATGTGCTCTCAAGAGCATCCAGGCAAAGTTTAAATGCAGCAGGATGGTTCCTCAAGGCACAGATCAGTATTTTCCTGGAACATGGGAGACCAGAATTAAAAACCCAGCAAAGCCTCTCCCAAAATTAATCAGAAACAAACTTGAGAATGAATGTAAAAAACTCTAAAAATAACAGTTTCCAAAACAAAAATGCGGCTCTTAGGATGATTAATAAAGTAGCAGGTAAAGCATGAGCTGCTGCTGGAAGTGCTGACTGGCAGAGCAATAACTGACAAGACACTGCCCAGGCTCAGCTTCCCCCTTATCTCATGCCTCTTATCTCTGAGCTGTTGAAGGAGCAATTCACATGACACCTTGACAAGGCCAAATTTTTAATCAATCCCTTTTCTACATGGTAAAACCCGAGTTAAAGATCAAATGGAACCTGGTGAAACAAGGCGCTGAGGCTGTAACACTCAATTAGCCCCCACTGCCTCTGTACCTGCTTAATGTGACCTTTCCAAAGCAGAGTTGGGTATCAATGACCTTGTTTTAAAGCCTGGTAGAGAAATCGCTTTTCATGAATGGAATAAAATCCCAAGGAGAGCTCCATGCAAAGGAAATTCATATTAAGGCAAATTAAAAATACACAATCTGCGAAAAACTCAGCTGGGGCAAATTCCTCAAGTGTGTGCGACTAACTGAGTTAAAGAAAAAAGTGCCAGAGCAGAGCAATTAAGAGTCCGGGTTTAATTAATTTCAATGTCTAACATGCTTGTTTTCACAAACAGATTTTGGTGAAGAGCACAAATGTGCAATTAAGTGCCAGTCTGCAGCTGAAATGCCATTAAACCAATCAGTGTTACGTGCCAAAGGTGCTGATGGCACTCACTGAAGCTTTGATCAAGTCAAAGTAAACTGAGCTTTCACCTCAAAGGTTTCAACAGTAAACTCTGATTTGTTTTGTAACTACTTACTATTGATTTGAAACATTAAAACCAGTTAGCACCGGCTCTGCAGAGCCAACATTTCCTTCCTTTGTTTATAAGATGCCTTCTGCTATTCCCCTTGCAACACTTTCTCTGGAAGGATGCCACTCTCAGAGCTAATTCAAGGAAGAACTTAAATAGCCAATTCTCTTCTGCCTTTCTTTTCATTGGATTTGTAGTATTTTCCTCAGTGTGCCAAAAAGCCAATAGAAACATTGCAGAAGTCTTTTATTTTAGCAGTAAGTTATGATGTTTGAATTGTTTTGTCTTTAAAGAAAAGCCAAGAAGGCAACTCCAAAGCCCTACTGAAATTTGAATCCCATGCAAACCAGCTCTGTGGACTGATGATCAATGTTCAGGGCTCCCAGGAAACACTTCTTGAATAGAATCAGAAGAAACAGAACCTCCTGCATCAATCAGGAGCCCAAATCACCCAGCAGCAGCAAGATCTCAGCACTCAAAGGTGAAGCAGAAAGATGTGCTAATATTAATGCACAGCCAAGGATTCCAGCCTGCACTGACAGCGGGGTCTTAGCAGCTGATTTCCTCTGTTCATACAGAAATCAGTGTCAGTCTCTCTTCAGGAGCAGACAGAACAGTCAGAATGGGGAGTGATGGATATAATACAGCTTCACCTGAGTTTCCCAGTGCATGTTTCATTCATCAGCCTGCCTGTACTGCAGCAAACCTCAATTCCACAGAGAGAGAGAGAGAGACCCTCAGGTGACTCTCCCCCCTTCCTCTGGAAGCCAAACAAGCACCTCCAGGAGCTGCAAGGTCTGTGCAGGCTGACAGAGCTACAAATAAAGGCCCGGGAAAGAGGGACACTGATTTTTTGAACATTCACAGCCACAACAACCCTCCCTCTGCAGAACCACCAATTTTTCTCCCAACCCTCCCAATTTCTACAATCTGGGCAGACCCCAGGCTCTCCCCTTGGGTGCTCTGAAGGTGCAGTGTCATGCCTGGCACAAACCCACGTGTGCTGCTGCAGTTCCACGCCCCAGTCCTGCAGTGCTGCTCCCTCCCCTGAACTCTCTGGGTGGGTTATCAGCTCCCTGCCCCAAAGCTGCAGGGCTGTGATAGCACTGGGAGCTGCCTGGCAGGCTCTGGCAGAGGCTTTTCACACACAACTCTGTTTTCCTTCTTCTGAAAATGAACTCCATCCCATTCCCTTTCTCCCCACCTGCTGCTCTTTCCAATTCCTCTTCCAGTCTCTTTTTTCAGAATGCAGAGAACATCTCTGCTACTCAAACCTGAGGGTGGACCAGAAGATCCAGACCCACAGGCAGGAGCCCATTTGCCCACATTCCTCCAGCCCAGCAGGGGACAAATGCCAGAATAAAATCCACAGATACTTATACTGAATCGGGATATATTAAAATTTTCAAAACATCTTCTGCAGAAATTTATTTATTTAGTTCAAAGGCTCCAAAAAATCTAAAAGTCTCCTACAGGGTGAGAAACTACAGAGAGAGAATCACAGAATATTCTGAGTTGGAAGGGACCCACAAGAATCATCAGACCCCAACATCCTTACTCCAGCTAAGCCTCCCAAAGGAGAGCTCATGAAAAGCCCTTTTATTTGACTATGATTTTAAAGCCTTTCCAGCCAAGTATCCCCAAATTCTCCTCACCTGCCTGTGAAAACCAAAAACCATTGAGGGTTAGATAATCAAAAGTCTCTGTTCCTAGGTAAAAATGTAACCAGAGCACCAAGCAAGGACAATTCCCAAAATAAGGAGCACCAAGTTCTCAGGCAGGAGTTCATAGTCAGTTTTCACTTTAAATCACCCAGTACCACAAAGATTTGGGTTTATTTACAAGAACAAAGGCCAGCAGTTCCTTCATGCACATTCACAAACTTCCAGCCTTTTGAATCCTTGCTTATTTAATTTCCCAAGAAGCAGAAAGTCCCTCATTGCTCTAATTTGAAGGTGTGATCAGAGACTGAGTTACACTTCCAAGTGTCACTTCCAGATAATGTATTTTGGGACAAAATTGAAAGCAGATTAATTCACCCACTCTGACTTATCAAGTTCTGCAGCCTTCCAGTTTATCTTCAAATTTTTATGGCTTTATTTCAGCTCTCCAGTATTTAAGAGATTTAGACTCAGTCATTCCACCTAATAAAGTGAACTGAGGGACTGTTCAACCTGAAACAGTCATTTTCTTCTAGAAAATGTCCACTGAGCAATTATTCCTAGAAGCAGTACTATATTCCTCATTCAGTCTGCTCAAAATCTATAAAGATTGGGTGAGGGAGAGCCCAGTTTGCATTTGCATTAAAGTGATGTTCATACCAAACCCATTATAAAACAGCTCTCGTGTAATTTAAATTCCAAGTCCCATCCAGAACCTGGAACTTATCTGCATTTCAATGCTGCATTTGCTCTGACATTATGCATCATCATCTGGGAAAAGCAAAAATTCCTTGAAACAACAAACCTCCCCATCCTGCAGCTTTAGATCAGGCAAGAACAGGTACAAACACAAGGTGAAGAGAGAAATTCTCATTAAATGTCCTCAGGCTTCTACCCATCTCTAAGTCCCTGCTAATGGGAATAAAACCTGTGCTCCAATAAGCACTGAGCTCCTGTGACAGTTGTTAATCAGCCTGTAAATGTACACAGAGACAATTTCACCCCATGCCATAAAAACCTGTATTTCCTTTTATTCCTTATCCCAGCAAATCAGCAACATTAAGCATAAAGACTCTGGAGATTTGCTGTCCAAAACCAGAGAAATCTGCAAAGGAATAGAACTGGCTCATGAGCTCTTAGGTTCCAGAAAAATAATCAGGGGCTTGGAGGTCAGACATTTAAAGTATGAAGACTGCCTGCAAAATTGTTTAATTTGAACAGTTTCAATGTCTTCAAGATTTTAAGATTTGTCTGTCACCTCCCTGTATTCTGAAGCGCTTTACCTACAGGTCTACAAGATGTAAAGAAGAAATTAAAAGACAAATAGAGGATTTTAAAAGAATTTCCAGCTTTGTTTGCAGGAATATTTATAGAATATTTCTATTAGACACAGAAGTTACCTCAGTATAGACTCTATATATCCCAACTCTGAAAAATAATCTTTTTCCAAAGAATTTCTGTATTCAATGATTCTTGTATAACACTTAACAGAGAAATTTAAAAAGACATTTACAAAAATGTGTCTACCTCCCATAGAATCTATAAAATATACTGAAAAACCACTAAGGCTTTGCTTTCCAGACACCAAAACAGCTACTCAAAAATACATTTCTTTAATATTTATGAATTTCTCATTTCACAATGTGCTGAAGTTTTGTACTCTTTAAGAATTACATATCTAAATATGAACTTCAGTATTTTGGATCCTAAAGCATCTACTTCAAAAACACTTGGATTATAACCTTAAAATATATTAAAAAAAAATTGAAATATACCTCTTCTGGCATAATTGGTATCCATATCCTTAAAATGCACCATAACAAAGTCTGAAGACTTGAACAAGATACTCTCAAGGATGTCCTCCCGTTTTGGCCCCAGACTGGATTCTGCAGTTTTCCGATGAGCAGCATCAACCACTAAATCACACTGTGGGAAATACAAACACAGGGCACTGCTTTACTGCACACTCAACCCCTCAAAAATGTCACGTATTTGCAAAAGCTAGGTATTTACAGTCTGCTTTAAATCTAGGCATGAACAGTAAAAATAATTCAGAGTAAATATTTACATTTTAATCAAGTGTTGGTTATTTGTTATTAGAAATTTTCACAATAGAGAAGAGTCAAAATGTAAAATATTACCTTGGGACTGTAGGTTTTAAAAACTCCTTCATATATACCACCATTTTTCACCTGTACTTCACATTTGGATCCCTAGAAAGCGAGAAAAAATGAGAATATAACTTTCTACCAACATGACAAATGACACAACAGTGATTTTCTTAAGCATGTGCTCTTTACATAGGTCCAAAGTGTAAAAATACAGCTCAATTTTTAGCCAAATTTCCTCATTCAGCATCTGCCCATTTATAAATACACTGCTGTGCTCTGCAAATTCAAATAGCTGGGTGTGTATGGGCAGTTCTGAAGGGATTTAAGGTATCCACTGGAGAATATTTGGTTCTCACAAGACTCTTGACCAGTTAGAATACACAAAGAAGGTTTTGTGCAAACCCCAAATCTGTGCCTGTGTGAGTACAAATAAGGATAAAAGCTTAGCCTGGCCTCAAGCAGATGTGGGACAGTCTGCCTTACTTCATTTTGCCATGTCAGGGCTTCCCTTAAAATCTTGGCAGAAAGGTTTCTAATACCTGCACACGGACTCATTTTATTTATCCATAACCTCTCTAAAGACAGGAAATTCAAAATACAACCAGTGCACCTAAGAAATCTGCAAATCAGAGTTAAAACTTTCCAAGCCTAAAATTTCTGTGATCCTTTAAAGCTCAACCTTGACAGAAAGTGTTTAAAGTTGAATATTCACTCCTTTATACTACAATTAGTGGATTAGTTAACAATTCCCTGTCATATAGGAACCATTCTTCCAAATATGAAGACTTACAACAACTGATGTGAGTATGTGAACCATTCTCATGTTTGCATAGATGCCATCAAAAGAAATCTGAAAAATAAGAAAGCCATCATAAATATTGAAGAAATTCCAAAAGCCAGAGCACCCAACCCAACTCAAGCTTTCATCAGTACACAGAAAATCTCAGGAACATTGGGTAATAATCTTACTCAGGCAAGATACATGGAATGTTTATTATTAAATATTAATATTAAACATGCCAGGAGAGATTTTCAGAGGGCCCCTGTCTTTTCTCTGACCAGTTAAAGATCTAAACACCCTTCCAAACAAGCTAAAAATCCCAGGAGAGCCCTTAATGTCACTCCATTAAGGAAATTCTCTGGCTGGCTGGGTGCAGCTGATATGCACAGATTTGAGGGATGTCAGCAGGGCTTTGTTTTTAAACAAAAAAAGCCCTGCTGGTTTTAAGAACCATCAAGAGAATAGGGTACTTGCAGAGCTGCAGAAACAAAATGATGTTTTTCAGGCCTGCTCAACCTCATCCTTTCATCTCCCAGCCCTGATTACACACATTAAGAGGAGCTAAAGCCATCAAATTGTGCAGTACGAAATTGCCACAAACCCTATTATTAATTTAGTCCAAAGTAACTCAGTGCAAGCACCAGGACCTGCAATCCTGACTGGGAGAGCTGGGCAGGTGTCCCCAGGCTGCTGGAGGACACATTCACCTCAGTGCAGGTGTTTTGTTGCAATACCTGGTTATCTCTTTGTGTTTGTAAAACAAGAGATGCTAAAACAGCTCTTGGGATCTCACCATATTCTGAGTTTTTCAATTGGCAATGTATTTTTAACTGTCAGCCACTTTCCTGGGCTGAACAGACAAGTTTAGGGACACTCCTGTGGTCAGCACAGTACACAGCACACCCAGACCAACATTTGGGGATGTTTAGTGTTTCCTTATGACCTTTTCCACCAATTTTCCTCAAAGCTTCTTTAGTTTTCCCCAAGCGTCTTGGTATCTTCAATAAACATTTATGTAAGCAAACTGCAGCCCTTTTAAATCTTCCTGCTTCTGCTCCATTCCCCAAAATTAGGCATCTTTGAAAACCAAGCCAGCAACAAATTGGCAAATATTTGATTAGTGAAGTTCAAAGATTCACTCTTTCAATCAAGATCCATGAATTTAGCTCTGATAAAATGATGTTCTGCAAGTCAAGCCACATCTATACTCCAGTAATACACAGCCTTGAGAACAACTAAAGCTGCACATTGGAACTAATGAGAACAATGGTTCAGCAATTTTATAGTAAAGCCAAACAAAGTAGCTCTTTTTATTTCATTAAATGCTGCCTTATTGTCATCTGTTTAAGGGAGAAGCCAATGTTAGAATTTTCAGACAGGAACTAATTCAAAAAGCACTGCATGAAGTTAAATGTTATTTATATTTACAGCTGTAATTGCAAGAAAATGCAGAATATTTATATTAGTGCAGTCAAAAGTTTAAGTGAACCTTCCCCCCTTCACCCTCCCAGGAGGCTTAAATGAATGCAAGATGCTACTCTTTAGAAAATTGTATTTCACTCTACACCCACCATGGTATCCCAAGGAAAAAATGAAGAGAATATTCCAGTATCTGCCATTCTGATAAGTTGTTTCCTCCTACAAGAGGAGAAACCACAAACTCACCGTAGGCTGAGGTGGTCCTTTGCCACTGCTGCGGCCTCTGGAATGAAACACACACATGGGAGATGATTAAAGAGCTGCTGAAACTGCTCTGTTTCCTACCAAGCAAGAATTCCAAACTCATCTTAGTTTAGAGTTGAGAATGGGATCAGGAAAACCAGCATTCCCAGAGAGCAAAGCCTGACAAGGACCCACTGGGTTTATCTCCAACCTGCTGACCTGGGATAAATTAAAGGACAAAATGAAGAAAATACTAAGCTTTTAAAATCAGAGTAAGAATAAAAGAGCAATCCAAAATCCAAAACATTATGGCACACAAAGGCAAGATCAGAGTCAAGCCCTACACAGCACAGCTTCCTTGAGCCAGGAAACTCCAAATATTGTCACCGTGTCAGATTTGGGCCACCCAAACAAATGACCCTGCCCAGACTGCGAGGCTCTACCTACAGAGCTCATTTCTAACTGCTCTCACAACCCTGCAAACCAAATAATTCTGTCCATTCCCCCAAAAATACCAGTTTTTCCTAATGCCAGTCTGTCACTGTGTGGCACTCAGGACACCTGGGGATGCTCAGAACACCCTGAGAAGGGTCAGTCTGTGCCCTCCACCCTGGGCACCTGAGCCCCAAAGCATCCCTGCAGCTAAAAAAGACCCCCACAGCTCCAATTCTTCAACTCCCAGGCACAGGTGCGCCTTCATTCTAAGTTCCTCCCTTGTACCAAGAAGTCCTAGTTTCAAAATACTCCTTAAAGTGATTTAGATTTGTGTTATGACTTCAGGAGCACTCACTGTAATGTGAGGCAAAAATAAATCTTCTGTTCTATTAAAAAAAATCCTCAATTTTTTAAATAGACTCACCTTACTGACACACAACCATCTCAATAAAGACACCTGAAGAATCACGTCTGGTATTACCTAAACAACACTGAAATCTAAACCCAAGTGGATGTCACAGAATCATGGAATGGCTGGGGTAGGAAAGGACCTTAAAGATCTATCCTCATCCCATGGGCAAGGCCACCTTCCTCTAGACCAGGTTGCTCAGAGCTCCTGAATACCTTCATTAGATGCCAACTGCATCCAAATGCTTTTAAAAACACCAAGCTGGGGCTGAATACAACCTACCCCCCAAAATAATAGGCCCTTATAAAAGAGAGCTCACAGGGTAGTCAAAAAATCAAAGGAACTTCTCTCAGTGAACATAAATAACCCTTCAATAAATTCTGCCGAAATAAGCAAAGCCATCAGAGAGCCATGAAAGGCCTTAATGAGGAAAAAATGAAAAACCACTAAACTATCACCTGACTCATTTCCAACAAGCTTCTGCAACAGAACTGTGACCTCAGAGCATCACACACGCTGGGGGCATTGGCTGATGGCAGAACTGCAGATTTGGGGTGCCCAGCAGACATTTTCAGGATATTGCAGAGAGCTAATCTCACCAAAAAAAAAAAAGAAAAAGCTCTAATGCAAATAACCTTTATTTAACTACCCATCAGCCTTAACTTTCCACAGGGCAGCTTCACAATGTCAGGTTTGCTCTGGAGCAAATCTCACCATTTACCAAATCTTACATTTGTTAAATGGCCTCCGAGAGAACCGAAGCCTTGCGAACCTGGAACAGAATTTTTGTGTAATATTCAGATTCTCCTCTATCTCGAAGTCATTTCTCCAGATGTGGAACCCTCACATAAGAGGCACAGCCCAATTTGATTTTTCCTTCTACTACGATCAAAATTGTGATGACCACGGTCACTCAGAACGTGGCCAAAGTCAAACAATTTTACCAGTTCCATCTGCTGCCCTAGGTTTTAGAAGATCCTCCTTCTCCTCCATCAGCTACAGATCAAAAGTGAAAGAGTTTCGTGTCTTTACAAGAGAAACCACTCCCATTTTTAGTGACAAAGTATTCTTCGACCTGAAATAACTGGGTTCCTAGACTGGGCAGAAAGTTTGGAGCATTCCCTCTAAGCATCAACCCAAGTATTCCAGATTTTCCATCTCTTACCACACTTCCAAAATGACTCTTCCTACCCACACTTCTTCAAGAAACCAACTGATTGTGCACATCCACATCAGCAAGAAGTCCCAACTTCTACATCAGCCAAGAATTAAAGCAGAAATTCTCTGATACATCAGGTATCTTTATAGATCTGACCTCTTGTTTTCCAGCTACAACTGTTAATCACAAACCATTGGGAAAAAAAAAAAAAAAACAACATATTCACCAAGATGAGAGAATAAATATATTTACCAATCCTACCAATGCAACAATTTAGCCAAAACTGTATCTTCTGCTAAAACCAAGGCCATCAACTCGAGTTTCATATTCCAAAAGGTGAAGACTCAAGTTCAAAGTATCATTTGACATTATCTTTGATGTAACATATGAAAAAAAAAACAAACCTCAGGACCTTTACAAAAGCAGAAGGTAGATGGGTTTTGCCAGATGTTTAACATAATTTGGAACAGGAGAGTAAAACAAAGAAATGGAGGTGAGAGAATCTAGGAAGGCTCAGTAGTCACTTGGCACTGTTACCTAAAATCGCATTTTCATTAGGGTAAATATGGCAAAATTAAAAAAAAAAAATATTTTGCATTGCACATATATGGTTAAAGGTAAACCTGAGTGAAGGCAGGACAGACTGGCAAATCCAAGCTGGAAACCCTTTGCTTTGGGGTAGCAAAGTTACAAACTCAGGACAAAGTAACATCTGAGCAATTAAACTTAGTGCCAACTCCTTGGGTCCAGCAGTTACACCTCAAGAAGCAAAGTCTCCATCAGGGCCCAAAATCTGCACTAGTAATGTTTTTTCCCAGCAACAACTTGCACATTTTTTTCTATTTTTACGAGTATTTCCTCAGCATCCCTCACCTCCCTCCTTCATGTTTACATGCCAAGTAGAGTGTTTGTATAAGCAAAACAAGGTCACGCATTTGTATTTTCCCAGTAATTGCAAGGGAAACAAAGTCATTCCTGGATGGGAAAGAAAGTCTCCAGTTTTCTTTCCAGCACCATCTTCACTTTGAAACAAAGAAAAAAATGCAGCCACACTGCAATTAAAGTCTGAAGCAGAAATGTAGCTACAAAGACTCGAATTTAAAGTGTGAATGGATGTTTCTGGAGCACTGACCGACATTGCTGAAGCTTGGAAAACAAATTTACAGGGTACTCTAAAGAACTTTAGTGCAGAGAGAGCTGGCAGAGCTTTTCTTCTAAGGGAGAAATCTGAAGTGCAAGGTTTTATTTCAGTGCAGTGTTTGGCTCTATAAAGTCAAATGAATTGAAGATGTCAAATGAAGATTATGCAAGAAGTCCTGCAGCTTTATTTTCTGTAGTTTTTCCCCCCAATGCTGACATCAATAATGTCAATTCCCATCTCCACACAGGGTGACAGATTCTACACCATGTGAATATGTAACAACCTGACTCAGGTCTGGCCCAGTGCACACCTGGAACCTGTTGATGGGCTTAGTCATGGAAGAACCTTCACAGACATGGCCATGAATCAGTTGTTAAATTAAAAGTTACTCAAAACCAGGGATACAACACCACCTTAAAGTGCACTCACAGTGATAAGGAAAGAGGCCTGCAGGTTAAGCAGTCATTCTGCTCAGCTGTTTAGCACTAAAACCCACACAAAGATGTCAGAAGCAACTCAAAAACCTCTGACTGGCACGTGTGAGCAGACCTTCAGAACAGTCACTGCCCTTAAATTCCAGCACCTTGGCATTCAACATTCCCCTTCCCTTCCCTCTGAACAGGATAGTCACCATGCTCTCAAGAAAGGGATGTCAAGGAAAAAGAAAAAGAAACGGAGGCAAGAAGTTTGTGTCTTCTTTTTTTTTTTTTTTTTACCATGAGGTGGTTTCAGTTTTAGCTTTTTGATGGGAAAAATACATTTTTTTTAAAGGACAGAAACTCTGTGTATTCTTACAGGATCCCCCAAGCCCAGTTAGGCAAGCAAGTTACCAAAATGAAAAATCCCTTCTGCCACAATTGTAACAAGACAAGAAACATCCAAACCCTGACCGTGAGGTGTTTTATCTTCAGATAAAATAACAATAGGGGAAAAAGGAACAAAAAGAGGACGGAGATGGAGGAGGGCTGTGATAGATGCAACTTGCAGCCAGAGGACAGCTAACCCTCCTGTGCTTGCATAACAGCAAAACTCCGCTCAAACACAGAAAGTAGATGTTAGATAATGTTCTGATAGCACAGGGAGCAAGTTTGTGAACCAAGTCTACATTCTCCCTAATTACAGCTTGCTGTGCTATTGGCATCTCCCCTGCAGCCCAAGCCCATCTGCCATAGTGCACATTAAACAAACACAGCACTCCACTTGGGGCCTCTTTTTTATCTCACACACCTTCAAGGATGCCTTCATTTCTGATTTTTCCCTTTGTCCAAAAGCAATTAATAGGACGGTAAAAAAAAAACACTGCTTGTTCACATGGGATTTTACCTTTTCTAATCTGAAATACAGATGTGCAGCAGTATGAACCCATGGAGACAAGGCAGCGAGCAGAGCTGACCCTTCCCTCGTGATCAGAGGTAGGAGGACAAGTGCTCAGCCCAATTCTTCCAGTAACAAACCCACAGCAGAAAATGAGGCCCAGGACAGTTAATTATCAATGACTTTTCTGCCCAAACTAAGCTTTCAAGAGCAACTTAGCCATGAAAAGTAGTATTTTTTTTTTTTTTTTTTTCTGCACAGAATGTTGGTGCTGCAGGGAAATGAGCTGCTGGGCAGAAAGCTTGACATACACTGGAGATGTCCAAGTTTTTATTAAAGAATACAATGCATCAAATTGATACCAACATGCAGGACACCTAAATATTCATTCACGTGGCCAGATTTACAGAATGAACCATATCTGAATTTGCACTCCCCAGAAGTCCAAGGACAGCTACAGGGGAAGTCCTCTGAAGGTGTTCCATGGGGCTCCAGCAGGCCTGGGACTGTGATTTTACAGACCCTCCATTCAGAAATAACTTGAAAAATTAAGAAACAAAGAGCATGAACCCTTCTGAGGGAACACATCAGCTGTTCAGCAGGCCCATCAGAACTCCTTAGGGAGTTCTGAAGTGGAATTTATCCAATAGAACCAGAAAGGCAACACTGGGAGGAGAAATCTAGTGGCTTTAATAATAAACTTGGGAGAGAATTCAAAGCTCTCATGTCCAAATCTAAGGGGGTAAGTGCTTGCCATAAGGCTGAATTTAAAAAAATAAGCCGGAGGTTTTGTTGCCCTTCACGTTAACCTCTACAGTGCCACTGTGTGTTGGCAGGGACAGAGCCCAGTAAACATCATGTCCCACCTAATGCCATATGTAAAAACTATTAAATCGGTGCTGTGAGCTGCTGAGGTATTGTTGTTGTTATTTATTTTGTCCTTTTCAACCCTTCCAAAGCTCTTCCGCTTCCAGTTCCACTGGCTGGGAACAAAGTAAAACCCTATTTCCAGTGATGTCCAACAATGGGGCCACTGTAAATTCTGTTTTATTGCCAGTGCCACAAAACCGAGTGGGATTAAACGTCCAGTTGTGAAGAGGAAGATGAATAAAACTCGAAATGAAACTGCTCTGAGCGACTGTGACCTTCAGAACTGTTAACGTCCTGCTCTGATCGTTTGTTATGACCCCCGCAGCCCGGGAAAAATTCACAGCACTATGGAGTTTATTATTTGAGGGGAAAGAACGGGGGGAAATGTGAGTGGATTTGCGTAGCTAATGATCTGAGAGCAGGAGCAGGATCAATCTCTCAGAGGCAGCGAGCGTGGGGGGGAGGCGAGGAGCGGGCTCAGCCTCTGCAAGATTCCTGCCCCAAAAATCTGGGAGAAAGCGAGGCCGCGCTCGGAGCCACCATCCAGCGGCGCGGCGAGGCCCGCCTTCCCGCGAGAATTTTATTGTGATTTCCATTATTTAAAAAAAAATTAAATAAATAAATAAAACAAAAAAAATGCTAAAAAAATTTTTACAAATAATAACGATCCCCAGATATTAAAATAAATTTTAAAAACACAATTATTTTAATATCCCCCTTCTCCCCGGGTGAGCCGAGGGCGCTGCGCCGCCATCGCGGGGCCGGATCGCCGCCCCCTTCCCCGCCCGGGCCGCCCCCCGGCCCCGCCGCCATCGCTCGCGGCCCTTCCCGCGCCGGCCCCGACACGTGCGGCCCGCGCCCCCCGCTCCCCCCGCTCCCTCCTCAGCAGGCGGGTCACGTCGGCCCGGGGGAAGCGGCGCCCCCCGCCCCGGGCCCCCGCGGGGGGCCGAAATGGAGCCTCGGCGCCGTGCCCTCCCCGCGCCTGAAGGGCACCGGCCGCGGCCCGGCCTCGCCCCGGCACTGCGGAACCCCCTCGGCGGGGCCGCGAGCGCCGCGCCCGCCGCCATCGCGGCCCCCGCCCCGGCCCCGCCATGCTGCGGGCCCCGCGCCCCCCCTCCCTGCCGGCCGCCGCCGCCCATGGAGGCCGGTGCGGGGCGAGGGCGGGGGGGAAGGGGGCGGCGGGGGCGGGCGAGCGGCGCCCGCGCCGGGCCCGGGGCCGGTCCCGTGGCACTGCGCACCCACCTGCCCATGTTCTGCCTCCCCGCGGCTGACGGGAGGCCGGGGCCGCCGCCGCCGGGGGGCTTGCGGTTGTTGCCGGCGGGCTGCGCCGCCGCCGCCGCTTGCTTGAGGGACATGGCGAGGAGGGAAGGGAGAGCGCCGGGAGTCGCGCCGGGCTGGGTGCGCTCGGCCGGTCCGCGCTGCGCTGGCGGGGCCGGGGCGCCGCTGGCTCGGCCGGTTGCTCCCAAACAGTGCGAGCGGGGCGGAGGGAGCGGAGCGCGGCGCGGAGGGATCCGCGGAGGGCGGGGGGGGGGCGGGCGGGCGGCGGCCGGGCCGCGCCGCGGGCTGAGGGCGGCGGCGGGGCCGGGGGGCGCGGCGGCCACAGCCGCGGGCTCGGGGCACCCCCGCGGGGCCGGCGAGGGGCGGCGGGGCTGCGGCGGCGGGCGCGGGGCGGGCGGCGGCGCGGACTCTTTACGGGAAGTCGGAGGGCGCGGCGGCGGTGCTGCGGCAGGTGAAGGGGCGGGGAGGGAGGGGGGGACACGTGAGGCGGCGGCGGCGCGGGACGGCGGCGGCGCCCGCCCGGCCCGGCCGTGAGGCCCCGGCGGGGTCGGGGGAGTCCCCGAGCCGGCTCAAACCCCTCCGGTGACACCGGCGGGCCGGCCCCGCACGGCCCCCGGTGTGCGGCGGTCCCCGCGCCGCGGGCCCGCAGGCCGCGGCCTGGTGCGGCCCGGCCGCGCTCGCCCCTCCCCGGGCCCCAGCGAGCGGCGGGCTCGGCCCGCAGCGCATCGTTCAAAAGAAACCAAGCGTCCAGAGACGACGAAATGGAGGAAAAATGGCCGAGCCCCGGGCGGCTGCGGAAGGCCGGGGGAGGAGGGCAGGCCCTGATCCGCAGAGAGCTGCCAAACACATCCCTGCTCCTGGGGGAAAGCAAGATGGGGCCGGAGGATGGCTGCTTTCCCTGCAGTGCCCCTCCATCTTACACATTTCGGAGCAGTCACGGCTTCCCCTCCTAGTAATGAAATTTAAATTTGCATTGCGCCGATGGGTGAAATCTTTACGCTCAGGATGCCAGTTCTCCCCTCACTCCGTGTTACCTGCCCACCATCAGCAGGCTCCCTGCAGAAATCCAGGGTGCTGTGGTTGTGAACCTGCTTGGTGCAGAGTGGGAATTTCACCAAAACCAAAACCCATACACAAAAATAAAGCCTGGTCTGGCCTATTAAAAAAATAAATAAATAAAATAAATGCACATACAGGATTAGTAAGAGCAGATGCAACTTGAAAACCAAGAGCTAAATTGATTTATAGCCATGGTTACTCGAAATGCTCAGAGTTTAATCTATTCATAGAAATGCTCTAGAAATCCCACAGGATTCCAAAGGAATAAAAAGGAGCAGTGCTCTTAGGCAGGCATTATTTATACACCTTGCTCCTAAAGCAACAGCTTTCCCATGCGCTTGGAAGAGTTGTGGGCGGCAGCACACAATGGTAAAAAGATAAAATATTGAACAGCTTTCTTAAATTAGCATTTTCCTTACATTTTACCTTTTAAACTGATTGCTTTGTTTTACCTCACAGGCTCAAGTAACCTTGTGGTTAGCACTTTCTAGGCTAGATGACAGATCCTACCCCGATGGGCTCAGCATTGAGTTTTCCCATAGAAAATACTCTTAACAGAGATGGTGATTTAAAGAAATTTCATTTTTTAATCCTTTTAGTGAACTCACAAGATGCTTCACTATTTCACAGCCACAGAACTGAGTGAGAAGGACACTGAGGGTTTCTGGAGCCAAAGAGTTTCTGTGGAAGATGTCAGCACCTGCACAGCCAAAGGTTACCACTGGCACCAATTTTGGGAGCATTCACTGTAAGAGGAGGAATCTGGTTCACTGTATGTGATAGGATAAATAAATCCCTAAAGCAGCTAAGAAAAATCCTTTATATATATTTGTGTAAAACACACTAGCATGAAAAAGCAATATAAGACAATATATAACAATATAGTAGTAGTAATAATAACAACGCTAATGATAATAATAATAGTTGTAGTAGTATATAGATGTATATAAAAATCTAAGAAATATATAGGGCCCAAAAGAGGCTATGAAGATGTTGAGGGGTCTGTGCAGGGCCAGGATTGGACTGGATGATCCTTATGGGTCCCTTCCAACTCAGGATATTCCACGAATCTGTGAACCAATCTCTTTAGGCTGCTCTTTTTAAGTTCTACAGCTTTGGGTTAGTCATGAACCTTGAGCAACTTTGAAAAGGAAGTTGTTAATAAAAAGCACAAGGAAGTCTGATAAGAGAGTGAGTAGAACTCATCCAGGTCACTCAACGTGGGGTTTTTAGAAGATATCACTTCAATACTTCTCCAGCCTGGAATGTTCACAGCTCACAGCACTTAGTGACTATTTCTGTGGCTGAAGATTAAGGACCACAAAAGCACCTGCAGCAGTTTGAAGGGGCTGTGGGGCAAAGATGGAGCCCTTGATAGCCAGAAATATCAAAAAATACCTGAACCAAGTTCCACAGGCAGAGACAGTTTCTAAGACATTACATGAGCACACTAAAGTACATTTTAGGGTGACATTACGTGCTCAGAAAGCAGGGTATGAATGGGCTGGCATTCACATCCTCAGTAATGACTCAAGAGCAGTTGCAGTTTGACTTGTTTTCCCCTTCAATGTATTCTTTGTTTTCTTAAGCTCCGTTTGGCTTTCGTTGTGCCCTCCCTTTTTTCTTTGTTGAGCATCTTTATAAAAAAGCAGGTTAAAAGTAAATATAGAAGTGATCATTTAATATAGCTCAGCAATTACCACCAGAGAAGCTACAGGGTGGTTTCCAGTGGCAGCCACCTTCTCCAGGGACACCTCCTCCTCCCCAAATTCCCAGTATAATGGGATTCTACTGTTGTTAGGGCACATCATTGCCTTTACCTCTTCCTGAATATGCTTTTCTTGATAGCCCACCATTCCCAAATTATTATTTTATGGCTTGGTTTTATCAATTTCTCACCCTTTTTTTTTTTTTTTTTTTTTTTTCCCCCCCTTTTTTTTTTTTTTTTTTTTTTATGTGACAAAGAGCAGCGAACAGTGGATGTGGTGGTTTAGCTGGAGAAAAATTCAGGATTCAATCAAGAAAGCAAGGAAACAATTCCTAGTGGAGAATCATGCTCCCTTTTGCCTCTCCTGTCCACGATCCAGGTCAGAGCTGCTCCTTTCCAGGACTGCTATTTCCCTCCAGATGTGTGACGACGTGTGCAGGCTGTATTTGCATGTGGAGATGAATGAGGCTGATAATAGCAGCACTTAGCAGGAAGTGCCGTGTGATGTAACATTTCCTTGATCTAACCTGCTGTTCGTCTTGTGCTCCCTTCCCTGAGCTACCCAGGGTGATCCTCAACAGCATCCAGCAAGACAAAACACGCCTGGGTACACGGGGACAGCAGCACAGGCACAGGGGTTTGCTTTAAGCAAAATCAGCTGCTGGAGAAGCTCAGAGAGCTGAGCTTTGTCACACACGTGTTTTCCCTGAAGATTTCAGTTCTTCGGTGCCATTATCCCCACCCCTCCTCTCGGAGGGTAAAGCTTTGTGGACAGTGCTGTGAGCACAGGGATCTCCAAACACTTGGAAGGATATTAAGAGAACAAATCAGGTGCTGACACACGGCAGAGCTTCCCAGAGAGATACGATGTAGCTCGTCACCAAAGCTGCCCTCAGTTCTGACTGAGGACACACCCCTGGCCAGACCAGAATTGGTACCACAGCAAAACCAAACCCCAAATTCCAAACCAGCCACGTGGAGCAGCTGCTGCCACCTCTGCCTTCCCCCCTTACCCTGATCTTCCCATTGCTTCCAGCTCCCAAATTCCCAGCTCAGCTCTGAGCAGAGACCAGCTCCCATCAGATTCAGTTTTTGATCTGCACTTGCAGTTTTATTGCCATTTCTTCCCAATCCTCAGCCGTGCAGCCAGGGCATGGCTGATGGATGTCCCTGCTGGGCCATGCATCCAGCTGCTTCTCCTGCAACCAGCAGGAGATGAAGGGAAATGCTGATGTCCACGGAGCTCTGGAGGGAGGCACAGAAGTGTCAGAGCTTGTGCACCCATTATCAACCCTTGAATGACCCTTGTTCTCAATTTCCACAGCCCTTGGACACAACAAGGGCATTTCTTTCCTCAGCCAGCAAAGCTCCAGGATCCATCTGATGATGCCATGGCTCTGCAGCGATTCTTGGGACAGAGCTGCAAACTGGGAGACAGCAACCCTGCCCAGCAAAGCGCCAGGAAATCGCCAGCCAGGTGCTTTTTTGCCTTTAGATTTCACATTTTTAGAAAGAGGAGGGGGGAACCCAGCCTGGCTCCTGCTAAGCAGCAGCAGCAGCAGCAGCACACAAAGCAATCGTTATGCCAAGATTTAGCTGTTAAATCCCTCAAGATCTGGTGCTCACAGAGCATAAACAACCTTTGCCTCCCAGCCTGGCCGAGCTGTACCTCCAGGTTTCCCAGCACAGCCACACAGACCCTCCCATACCCATCCTCTCCCCAGCCCTTCGCTGAGGCTGCCGTGCCAACAAGAAAGGCAGTTGCCATGGCATTTTTTCCCCCTACAGACAGATGTCCATTAAAAACCAAGTCAGCCTCAGGTTTGCTTCGCAGAGCAGCTTTCAGTTGTTATTACCAGCCTGCAAGGAATTTCCACAGTAGCCCTTCACCTCAGATGTTTCAATGTGCTTCAGGATTAATCCCTGAGGATTAGAAGGAAACTACTACAGAGCAGGCACAGGTATGTTCAAAGGACAAATTTAGGATTATGATTGTGGTTTATGTTTTTGGCAGATGACAACCACATGACTGTGTTTGGAAAGGGTTGAATTTGTTACCTCTGGTGCTCTTTCCCCTGTTCACTGTGCTAAAATCATCAGGCAAATTGGAAGTGGGATGTGAAACTTTCCCCTCCTTTGGGATGTCTCACGTGGGGCTCAGATCTGGGATTTTGGCTTTAGGAGGAACCCGCCAGTCCTGGACATGGGCATCAAGTGAGGCTCCATCCATGGAGATGGGAAAGCCCAGGCAGTTTCTGTGAGCAGGGCCAAGCACTTCCAGCAACCACATGGCTCAGGGAGCAATGTCTTCTTCCTTGGCCATA